GGAAAAGACCATTTTGCAAAAGGAATCACACTAGTTTTTGCTTCGAGCAGCGTTGGAGTGCCTTCATCCAAGTATGACCACTTTTAATAGGCTTTTTGGGGAGTGGTCCCTCAGAGACCCTCTCCGGGGTCCAGGCAAGGACACCTTGGAAGACTGTGCTGTTACGTGAGTGACACAGTCCGTCCCGGGGAAGCACAAGGACCGCGCTGGGAAAGCTGTGCAGTGCATGCCCACATCTGTCTATTTTTTCTATAAGTTTTATTGTAAGAGGTAAAACAAAACAAAAAAGAAAATATCTATATATATAAATATATAAATATATATAAATATTATTTAGATAATCTCTGTACCTTTTCTGGCATTTTTTGCCCTGTGTAGGTTGACTTGGCAATTCAGCCCCTTTTTGGAGGCATTAACTACCCCTCGGTAAGTGTTGCATTTACATGGCTGTGTAGAAAACTGCTGCCCAAATTTATTTTATATTTTTGTACAGATTCTGCCGTTTATGATCTTGTTTTTCTAAAAGACAGATGCTGTTTCTACATATGAGATATAGCTATTTTGATAGGATTTGCTCACATAGTTCCTGCAAAACTTCAGACGTACAAGTTGCACTTGTACTTTTATAGCGTCGTCCTGTTTTCTATGTGTGTATGGTGCAAAGAGAAAATTGGATCAAATCAGTCTGCAGTTGGTGCCCCCAGAGGCCACACACACACACCCCACAACACAACAGAGAGACCAGTTGGAGAAACGGCCAGGCAGTGAGACAGTGTCACACCTGCCAGTTCTGTGATTCCAAAGCCTAGCCGACCTGCTCCTCAAACTTGCATTAAGAAGTTGGCAGGAGGCAGCCGATGAGCTCAGGGTTTACGAGCTGGTTCCCCTTCGTGTCCTCTTCTGAGGGAAACGCTGCGGGGGCCCTTACTTAAGGCTGTGTTATACCAACTCTGTCCTTTTAGTGGTTTTGGTTTCTCCCAAATGAAACACAGATTTGTGTGTGTGTTGTCTGTGCGGCATTAATTTTTATTATGATCTGAAATTTCACATCAGAACAAAATGGTTTTTTTAGTAGCAGCTGACCTTTCTCGTGGAACTAAAACCTGACTGCCGTGCTTGGGGCCCTTTAAGAAGAAACTCTTCCCCAGAAGGTATCCATCATGTATGTCACTGATCGGCCTCTCCCTGCTTCCAGCTTTTTGTCCCCTCTGTTGCTAAGTGCCGCACGTGGCATTTCCAGCACCCCACAGTGAGCCCCCCTCCATCCCACCTCGCTGGCCCAGGACCACTGGGCGTGGCCCCGGAGCTGGGCCCTTGTCACATCACGTCAAGGCCTCCAGGCTGGCCGCTTGCTTGCGTCAGCTGCTGTCACTGCTCCACGCTGTGCGAGGCTGTTTTCCTCACAGCCACAGACAACTATGCATGTTCCTCCTCCCCCTCCACCCAGGACGCCGAGAGGTAGCTTTTTATCCTGATGTTGTACATTTAATTTTAAAGCGTTTGCAATGTATCATGCTTGTTGCCGAAATGGTTTTATGGCCTTCTTGTTTCAGCTTCCCCTCCTTCCAATGGTACTTCAGCTGTTGAGAGCAGGTTGCAACCTATATTATTGAAACGCAGATGGCTTCTTTAGGAATAACTTTTCTATTTATTTAATTTTTTTTTTAAATTATGGGATTTTGTTTTGTTGTTTTTGTTTGTTGTTCATTTGTCAATATTCAGTGATCAATTCTGCTCACTTCTTGCCATGGATAAAAACTGGGCCCTTCGGGCCAATTCAAAACAGACAACTTTATATAAAAATGGCACTTTAAACAAGCCATAGATAGTTTTATTTTTATAATGCACTTGGCAAAGCAAATACATATGTGATGAAGGAACTGCTTGTCGAAGCAAAGAGGTTTGTGTGTGATTGAATTCAACCCCTCTCCGTCCTCGCTTCCCTTCTCCTACCTGCTGGTATCTTACAGGCTAACTTATCAGCTCAGTAGAGCAGTGAGAATCTGATCAAAGCGCCCGTGTCCGCCACACGGAACCTCCACGCGACACAGCGTTGCTGCTCACCTGTCGTCTTCCTCCGACGGGACTAGGGACCACGTAGTTAGGTGACCGAGGGGCCGCACCCAGTGGACCTGTGCCTGTCGGTTTTGAAAGCTTTCCTCTCTGGTGGAGAGCAGGTCTGTCCCACAGACCCTTCCTGGTTTTGAACCTGCCTGGGGAGCTGACAAGTCTCCACATGCTGCACACACACATAGATACCTGAACAAAACAGTGTTGGTCCCTCTGAACAACGGCTGGTAAGGGTGACGGCGGGGATTTGCCCTCGCCCAGAACCAATGCACAGTCACTTGGAACAACTGTCCTTTCGTTGGACTAGCAAACCCTGTGTTTAAACAAATCCCATATGTTGGGCAGCAGTTCAAGCAAGCGCAGAGGGAGCGCTGCCTGAAAGTGCTGCTCTGACTCGCTCGTATTTGTAGGGCTGGGCTGCGAAACAAAACCCCCAAGCCCAGCAGGCCAGTGCTTTTTTAAACTCCGGACCCCCCAGCTGTCAATTCTTGCTGATTCAGAGTCTCACGGGGAACACCTGGGAAACGAGCAGGCCCGTTTTCAAAAAGAGCAAAACCCATCAAGGGTCGAGATTCTCCTGCGCCCCTGTTGTGGTCCCCACGTCCCCGTCGGCCTGCTGCCAGGCCCCTCAGCTGCAGTGCCTCCCCCTTGGTCAGGGTATCCTGTGACCCCAGAGCCAGGCAGGTAGTCTGAGGGGCCTTGATGGGAGCGGCAAGCCAGCCGGCGAGGGTGGGAGGGGACAGTTCCTGACAGTGATGTGCAATGAAGTGACAAGGTGAGAGCAGGATATAATAAGAGCTTTGACTTTGAAGTGATTTTTTCCCCCCTCATAAGTTATTTATTCCTTTTTCTCTGTGTAAATATATTTATTGTACCGTGGAGCTCTCCAACATCTGGATCGTAACGTGCGGAATGTATGGTAGGAATGTATTCTCTTGTGGGAATGTAAATCTGTATTAAAAAGGGGTCCGGCCAGACCCCGGGGTCTTCTCATCGTGTGCACAGTCCACGTCCACTTTTACTCTCTACTATGGGTCTATCTGAAATATGCAAAAGGGATGGATGAAGAATGTTTCAATACCTCCAAATTTTTTAACAACAAAAAAAATCAAGCATCAAAAGGTTGATATTTTTAAAAGTTTTTTTAGTAGCACTTTCTCTTTATGACAGAAGGGGCGGCCACATCGACACCCTCCTTCATACCAAAGGGTGCGAAATAGCCAGAGCCTCCACTCCACCGAGTGCCCCTAGGAACGCCCAGCTGCCCTGAGGTCAAGCAAGGAAAATGCATTAAATAAATAAACAAACTCCAAAGAGCCAAAGTGTCAACTTACGGATTGTTTTTAAAGCTTACATTTATTAGCCACCTTTGTGGTAAATAATGAATTATGAATCCTGCAGGGCAGCGTACTTAAATGACAAATGTAAAAAAATAGAGACTTGACTCTGTGCAACGATTGTTATACTCTATAGTAATTGTCTTAATTTCAAAACCTTGCAATTGCAAATCGGACCTTTATGCATTTTTCTAAGAACATCGGAAAGGGCATGTGTGGCCTGTCCCTGGCTGTTGGCCACGGTCACCACCATGCACCTCAGAAGCAGAGAGGTGTGCGTGGCCTGCTGTGTACAGATGCCCTCACTGCTTCTAGGAACGAGTCTAAATGGTCTTTGACGATTGGCCAGGATCAAGTGCTATTGCAAACAAAGCCAGTAGAATGTTTGGACTTGTTTTGAGGAATAACCGGTTGAGAAGCGAAGTGCAGTCTATACACGCAGCCAGCCACGACTTTGGAGAAGCTGTAAATAGTGACATGTTTGGTGCATGGTTTTTGAGGAGGGCTTTGTGTCAGAAAGGAGGTTGTAACCTTTCCCCCCCACAGACCTGAGAGCTGTGCCTTTTCTATGCAATATTACAGATGTCACATCAGAACCCAGATGGCTGTATTTACATGGAGGTTTTGGGCTGTAATCTAAACAATTGGACAGATGAAATGTACATGGAAATGAGCAGTCTTACTTTTGTAGTTTTTTATTATACAATAAACAGTTAAAAGATGAACGAGGCGTGTGAGCTGTTTTCTTGAGATCACAGCGCGAAGAGCCATGCATCCCGGGCCCTCAGCCAGAAGACTGGTGGTGGAGGTGGCCCAGGTGTGCCTGGGAAGACTGTCCTTGACCACCTCACAGAGCAGTTCTCCTCTGCACACAAGGGTTCCGGCCTCCCCCGTTGACAGCAGCTATCTCGACCTCTACAGGATTCGGCCTACGAGCCTTCCCAGCCTGAACTTCTACTCTGTATTCTGCTACCCTTTCTTTCCTGGATCCACCACCCCCACCCTTGTCAGCCTTTTCCTCCTGTCTTTCACATCTTTCTATATACTCCCCCCCACCCAGGGTCTGGTCGACCCATTCATTCTGCTGCCCTCTGTGAGGTCATGTTACCACCCGGACACATTTATTTCCAGCTCTCACCTCCTCCTGGAGCGCAGAGCTTGAAGTCCAGCATTGACCACCCCATTCAGCATGCCCAGAGCAGTCTTAATCCCTCACTCCTCTCCCACGCCCGTGTTGGCTGACCACATGTAGCCCGTTGTCCCTCCAGTGTCACCCCCCTCTCCACTGCCACCTTTACCTCCACCACGAAAACCTCCCTACTTCACCTTCCCTCCTCATCTCAACCCAGCTGCTTTCTGTATTGCACTTTCTTCAACTCGTGTGCCATCTCGTCAGGTCTGACCCTCCGCGTCAGAGGACTGCCCTAACGCGTTTCATCTTCCAGACCCTACCCCTTCCCTCCTCCACGTGCCATCTTGGGTGG